TATGTTTGAATGAATAAAAATAAATAGTTTAGATTGATATCATGAATGGATCAATGTTAGACTACCATTGAAAACCTCGAAGCATTGAATGGCCGTCTCGTCCTAGTATGGGACTCCTCAGCAGTGCGGAACCACGACTCCGCACGATAGGCTCGAACTCGGGACCTTTGGTCTGTATACCACTGAGCCGGTATCCAACAGTGGTAGTGTCTAACTTGAACCAATCCACGATTTTGTGCGAGCGTCCACCGTTGCCTTCAGTGAGTAAATGCCTCACCTATGGAGTAAATCATCTCTTAATCCACGATTGTTTGAAAAACATTGAATTTTACTGTATCAAATCTCGATATTATCCAGATTTTACATCTAGAAACATTAAATATTTTAAATATATCTTGTCACGAAACATTTCAAATAATATTGAAATATTTCCATCCATACGTTTATTAATTGTCAAACTGGAATACAGTCAAATGAAACTCATGCTTGTATGCTCGGATTGGGGTTACACTATTTGTATGTATGTATTGGTAAGTGAAACTACTCCGTTGCTCAAACTGAAACAGATGGAAGAGGGCTAGAATCTATTATTTCAAGCTTGGACGTTTATTTCTCCGACAAATTCAGTCATCGTCTCATCTTTATACTATTATTTACGTATTCTATAATCTAGATCATGAATATATATAACCTCTAAGTTGTTGGTTTACAATTTAACGCATTGTTGTATCAAAGTCAAGATTAATACATTTATTCGGGAATGTGAGCAATGAAAGAAACACCAATATATAATAAACTAATAAAGATAATAGCATCAGTAAATGAATGACGCCAATTAAATTGTTCAACTAAAATTTATTGTTTCAATGGAATATCTAATAAATAGAGAAGAAAATTAGGACAGTAAAATAGGAAGAAATGGAAAACTTATTCATGTTAACGCCCTATTATTGTATTATATTGTCTAGTTAGACAAGAATTCTTCGATTAGATAAATTAGAAAAAAACTGTATAATATTATTAACATCTACTGAGATCAGTGGTTAAGAAATAAAACGAACGAAATTCTGTTTGGTAAACTACAGTTGTGAAAACATCTTGTGAATGCTTTTTATGTACGAAATCTCAGCTTTTAAAGTAGCTTATTGACCATGAAGTATTACTCTCACCATTTCGGTTTTCATCAGAGTAAATGTCGCATGTTTTGTGTCCTTCAGCTTTTGCTGAATATATCTACAATTAGTTATTCAAACATCGTCCTTTAAAATAAAATCAATAATTCTGAGACAGGGTTAAAAGGCATCTCATGTTATTCTCAGAGAAAATTTCTTCCAGATATTAGACTGTCACATTGTCGATCTTAATGTCATAGGTTTGAGTTGGATTTCTCAGGAAGATATATTTATCGATACAACCGTGAATTCATATGTGTCGACGCCTGACTATTGAAAACGAAATTGGAAATAACGTTGTCTATCGAAGTTCAAGTAGTGTCACTAATGCATACACAAAAGTTACCGTATTCCATTTTTGTTTTATGACATACAAGCGTGGTCACAATAATGGCTACATTCACAGTGGAACATATATTCATATAGATCAGCCACACAGAAACTATAAATTATCATCTATGTATGAACACTATTTTTTCATATTACTCAACTAATAGACTCATTGATCTAATATAAGTGCTTGTTAAATTTGGATGATCGGTCAAAACAACAACCATATACTTGAGAAATTATAGATCGTCCCACTATAACGCTTATTTGACTAGTATAGAATGTGTTACGACTAATAAGTCGTAACACTTTAACCCTACTAGTTAATAAAATATTGTACACTAATTAAACTTTAGTTGGAATCATACTCAACTCTCTACAATAATACAAGATTCCAGTTGTTTAAGAACCATTACCGATGAAATGATTTATATTTCAAACATTCAACTTAAAACTAGTCAGTCACGACGTAGAACCAGGCACATATGTGCATCGGTCAAAGTTACCATACCTCATTAGCACAACAAGATGAACACGGATTCCTAGAAGTAGTTAATTCAGTGGTGATAATATATAAAAGAAAAATTGCATACAATGACATAGTACAGGATGACAAAATTAGTTGGTAGAAAGAAAGATATGAAACGATTTTAATCTCATAGCTTAAGGGAAGATAAGGAGTGTATACACTGACGCCATTGTGATCGATTCTGAGCCATTTCACCAAGTCTCCAACCATTGGTTACGATAGTCACGCGGACTCCAACCAAGTAGTCTGCATCTACCGACATTGCTCAGATCAGAAGTTAGTACCTTCAAAGACAGATACCACGTTTTGGTTCGGCCGCCCCTAACTTTATTCCAACCATTTCCAGCACTAGTCCACATTGCGCGTCGTGGTAATCGGTGTCCAGACATACGCAGCACGTGGCCCAGTCATGTCAGTTAATAAAGATTCACAACCTCATCAACTGATTTACCATTATTCCCTGATACCCTGCATCTAACCTCACTATTACTTACCCAGTGATCCCAGCAGATGCGATCAATATTTCTAAGGCATCTGTGGTCAAATATTAGTAGCTTACGAATATCTTTTACTCTTACTCGTCCCTCAATTGATAGACGGACATCTGGTCTTCGTCATAGGTGACGCAAGTTGGCAAAAGCCAAACGAACTTTTTGAATCCATGGTGAGATTTCGTCAGACACCAACCCACCAGGATTAACCAGACTTCCAAGATAAGTAAAGTTCTCAGCGCGTTCGACTCCATATCCTAAGTCCAGGTGTCTTCACCAAACAGGACTATGTAATCTGAGTATTCTAAGTCGATAAGTAGACCTCCTGGTGGGAGATCAATACCAGAAAACTCAGTCGATGAGAGCGTTATTCCCATCAGTAGGTCTATGAATTTAAACAAAAATAAAGTGAACAGCCTTGACGGATACCACCTGAGGTCGCGAAATCAGACGACAGTTCGCCATAAGCCTGACTCGACTAGTGGTGTTCGAGTAAAGAGACTTCACAAGGTCTATACATTTCCAAGGTACACCTTTCAAAAGATATTGTCTGACAAAGGAAAATAACTCCCTGTGATGACTTTTTAACAGAAAGTGACGTAAAGTTGATTCAAAGAATTGTATTTTTGTTTCCGAGTCGGACAGTTTGTTTGTAGAACATCTAACCACTATACTAGACAAAACCACTAACAAACTATGACCTTTGAATTTTCTTGAGATAGGATTGACTTTTAGTCCACCCTAACTACTTAAGCAGACGACATTCTTTCATACCAAAATATATTTGACTTCACCGATAAACTGTTGGATTTAGGTATTCCACAATGTTATTGACTATACACACATTGATACCTAAAACTGATAACATCACTCTAAAAAAGGACAGACCGAATATCATACCTTAGCGTTTTCATCACTAGATCGGATAAAACGGGTTTTTTTATAACTCAACATTTATACAATAACCTTTTTATCGAAAATTGTATGTATGTAAGCAAACACAGTGAGCGCTTTCAAAAATAATTCTTATTTTTCAGGAACTCCGAACAACACTAGGTTAGCAGGATATCATGGTTAGTATCTATCACTAGAAACAAACACATTGATTAAATTCTGTTTATGAAGGATAAGTGTTGGTTCCTATGAGGAAAAATGTGCATGTTTATTCATGCGTCATCGCCGTTATAGCATCATAAAAACATAGTGTCTCTAAAATTTTGTATTTAAGGTGTTTTGCAGTCACAGAAACAATCACTTATCTCTTCTTCGAAATATTAGTTTGTCCAAACAAGTCTCAATTTACTTGACGATATGACCTAATGGAACGACAAACAAGTATAGATGTCAAACGTTATTGACAATGAGAATTTTGATGATCAACTTTTGAACAAATTCAAAAATACGACTAGTTCTATGACATTAACTATCCAAACTGAAATGTTCTAATTAACACACAGAGATAGTGATAAACTTTACGTGGTTTAGAAGCGCGTTGAGGGGAACACAAAAATGCTTACGATATATGTAAATAAATCCCTTGGTTACAAATCATAATAAGACGTCCTATCGCGTCGTGCGTTGACAAAACTAAACCAGTACCTTTAGAAGACAGATTATTTTATACTACTGTTCCAACTAGGGTAGCTGTAAGCTGTTCAAATTAGCCTATGATGTTATTTTTCAGCTTAAACTTTAATCGACTTCTAATAAAACAAGAATGAAATAGTAAGAACACCGTAAACATGACATAATTAAAACAATAAAATATTGCACAATTCACAGGAAGATGAAAGTAACACGCATTTTTTCAAGCGCATGTAGTAATGCCAAGAATGAACAAAGAATATGTAATATATAAATAAACTTAAAAAGGCTATCTTGACAACAAAGAACAATTTATAACCATATTTCGTACCGAAGCCAATAGTGAGCAAGAATTATGAACACTGTTTCCCTACTAATAATATGGTTGACGAAAGCATGTTAATAAATGTCTTTATTGTGTGATATACAACAAAAGCATTGATAGAAACTTGTCTCTAACGTTGATTTCATATAAAAACAAAACAGCAAAAGTAAATGAGTGTGGCAACCAAAAAAAGATCAATCAATGCAATTACATGACAAGTGGATAAAATTTAAAGAGATGAGGAAAAAATGAAGTTAAAAAAGCACCAGTGTCAAATTAATGACATAAAATTACGTATAGATATAAATATGTATGTAGTAAATCAAATCTTGCTCAATTTTAATGTAGTAAAAGCTGTAGGCATTAGACAAAACTTGATCGTAATTTGTTGAATGTAATAGAATGCATACACTGGCCAGGATATTCAATTTGAGAATTGGTTATTAATGCCAATAAGAATTTTAGCTTTAAATCCGCACACTAAGCATTGAAAAAATTTCTGGAAAATGCAATATACTTTGTAAATCAGAATGGAAGCATGAGGAAAAACGATGAATTATGAAAGACAATCAAGCACATTGAGTTTGCATTGATGTCGATAGGAGATGATTACGATGTTGATTTTGACATGAAACACCATTCAACTTTTTAGAATCATAACATCGAAGAGGTTCAACAGTTTTTATCCAGTTAGCGATGTCGTTAGAATTAGTAACTGAAATTCGAAAGAAAAGACATTCAAATAGTCAGTTATGGAACTTTAGATCAATGGTGTATGTATTCAAATTCCAACTATTAATTCTATGGTTATAAACAAGTTAAATCGAATTTGATCTGGATAGGTGGTTAGTATCTACAACTAGTTTTCTAGAGCAATGTAGTTGGAATTCGTGAGCTACATTGAACGCAAGGAAATGTTATTCTGTAGAATAATTTAACTAATTACATTCTACTACGGCTTAGTACTGTTAAAACCAAACAATTAGAACTAATAACTTCAATTACACAGAATTTACTTGCTTCATTTCTTCTTACTCATAAAGAGGAATTGAACTGACATAAATGATGATCACCCGACAATTTATGAAGTACTCTAACTTAATTAACTATTTTACCTAATTATCAAAATAATAATAAACAAATTAGGACTTAAAAATCATATTCAGGATAACATATTAAGCCTTAGGCTTGACTTATTTTTCTAAGAGTAAAAGTATTGACCACAATAGGTAGTAAGGATGTGAATCTGTAACCCAGCCGTTCATAATAGAGTGAACTAGAAATTCATACATGATTAGGACAGGATCATATTTCTTCATGAACGATAACTTAAAATGGCAAAAATAATAACGGTAAAAATGTGTTATAGATGAAATAATAATTGTATTTAAGTGATTTAGTCAGTCACTCTTAATTAGCGTAAGGGTAAACAAAAATATGTCACCTCAAGTTGCCATACCATATCAGCGAACAGAAATGAGATTGATAAGATTACTACTAAGAAAGTCGACATAATAGTAGTATCAATGGTGTTGAGGAACTAAACATTGGTGTGATGAAATAAGTTGACAATCACAAACGAGGATGCTGAAAATGTAGGAAGATAAAATAATCTGTCGCTATCCTTCAACTGAACAAAATGAAAGCGATAAATCATTTCATTTACTAGGCACTTGGATATTAGGGCTAATTATACTACCTAGCTGCTCAAAGCGATCAAACAAACACCTATAATACAAATCTTAAGAAGAAAATATGACTACTGAGTAACATTTACTTTAAGTGGGCCTTGAATGTCTCTGAAAAAATGTAAACCCGAACTTTTAAACCATGTTGTTATTAGGACCGTGAATTCGAGAATATTCAAAAGAAGAAACACAGATAAGAGTGAGGAAGAGTTACTTGTGGAGAAGTATGTACTACACAGGATGACCGTTGACGTTTTCTGATAATGTGTACTTGACATGAGCAGCAACAATTTATTATCAGATTTTAAGGTTCTTTTTTAATATATTACTCTACTGAAGGTTCAAATTATCGGATAAGGTGGGGATCAATAAACTACTTCCAACAAACTATGGAACTAATCAGATACAGATCTAACATAAAATATTTCAGTACCCATATGTGGCAACACGACATCTAGTTAGCTACGGTTTAAAACTGTTGTAACAACTGTAACTTTTCTTACTAATCTAGCTGTAAGGCATAATTATGTCTTTGTTCACCATACAAATAAATTTTAATGTTATTGACTGGGTATTAGAATCTAATTATCTCTATAACAGCAACCACTCACGTTGACAACTTAAAACGGTAAACAATAAGAAAAAATACAAGAAATTTACAGTGGTTTGGTCAACTCACCGTTCATTATGTAACTTTCGAGTAATTTTTCTATTTTGGGGTTTTCAAGAACAGTAGCATAAAGAACTACGAAAAAGGAAATTGATTCAGGATCAACAGTTAAGTATATGTACAAAATAATATCTAATACGCTAAAGAACTTAATATTGCATACAATTAGTTTCCAACAGACAAGGTTTAGTAAAAATGCTATACAACGAATCATTACAATACATCTTTAGTGGGAAGACATGTTTAGTACGGACAACCATTTTCTAAATCCATGCCAGAAATCCAACATACTAATCAATCGAATAAAATGTTTTGAGGTGTTCAGTGAAGAAAAAAACAAGTAGCCCATTTGACTTCTATAAGATGAATATAAAAAGCTAATTATAACAGTGGTAAGCTATGGTACTTACTGTTTCTGATCGAAGGAAAATATGTCTCAGTATTTTAAAACGTTTTAATTGGGTTGACTAGTGACAGAAGACAGTTTTTCTGCTTATTTATAAAATCTGAAATCATTTTTACTTCTAACGATCTTATTCCCTGTTGTAACAGGCTAACTCACTTCAAATGAATGATTTCTTTGTCGTAAAGCTGGGATAAAATACTTCCATTACCTATTTCTCAGTTCAGTGCGATAGGATTAGTTTAAAATGATCATTTTTGGTTATGTACACTGAAATGTTGCATTGATTAGTCAGTATGTCATAGGCAATTTATGACCTGAAATAAAAATGAACTGACCCAAGTTACTACACCATTCAGCAGTAGAGTGAGAGAGGAAACTACGTAGATGAAAAGCACGAGTGAAAATATTGTTCGTTACACTGTAACGATAAATATAAAAATGAGGAAGACGGGTCAAAAGTATGGAACAATGTTAAGCTTATTATATCAAGGAAAATCTGCAATAAATTCAACTTTATCAATTTGACTGACAAACCATATAACCTAAGATTTCCAACCGCAGGTGTCGATTATATCACGGATTCTATAGCTAAGACTAGTAGACATTAACTTTATGGGCTAATTTCATTCTAAAAACTCACTTTGATTTAGTAGACGTAGATCTTGAATGGAAATTCCAACGCCCGGTTTGATTCGATAGGGTATACATAAAAGTAAGGACTAAAAGCAACGACAAATAAGAAAAACAATCAGTGAGACATACAAAACTATACCAGTGATCAATCCACGAATGATAAAATAACCAAACATAAGTAATATACTTTTAGGGATTCAATTAGTAACCATAGAATTAAGTATAATGGCAAGCAAAACAGATAAGAGGAACAAAAGCCTGTTAACAACAGTATCGAATTCTGGTTTCAAAATGTGTCAATAAGTAAACCAGACGAGAGTACAAAAAAATCCCTAAGGTTCTCCTGAAACCTTGGTAAAACAAGTGATCAACTAATTAAAAATTTTAAAAGTGACTGTATTATGAATTAAATATAATAAATGCCGATATAAGTATATGAATCAGTAACCCAGGTGAGAAAATTAGTGGAATTCACTCGTTTAAAGAGACTGCATTTTTCATTAACATAAATTACCTAAATAGCCCAATCACAGTCAACGAGCAGATAACAATAGACAGTAGAAAATTCACCACGAAAATATTAATAGCGGATCATAAAACATTTAATAACTTGAATGCGTTTTTTATACTGATATACGGTGAAAATGTTATATGTTCCTCAAAGTATTTATGCGTAGAATAAATATATTGATGAGCGACCAGCATCTGTAGGTTAAAAGTTGAGGACCCTAAGGAATAGAATGTTTAGAGCAGTAGTATTTATATGCATATACGAAATTATTAAACCAATCAAGGTAGTTTATGAGTCAACGATAACAATGAAAAAGATTACATAATAAGTGAAAAGTACAAATTGATAGTGTGGTAACAGGTGCATTAGTTTTGATAAGAATAATAAAGGCTCAAATCAATGTTACGTAATCGGAAATAGGTCAATGATGAGAAAAATATAGACAGTGAAATAACATTTATAAAATTATAAGATGTCATAATAAGAAGTGTTCAGATAATTGGACCGTGAAACGTTTATTTGAGAGAAAATAAAACGAAATGGTAGGAGGGGGTGAAGAAAAATAATAAACGAAGAGAAAGTTTGAAAAAATAATAAATAAATTGACTTATTAAGGCCAAGGAAGAGATAAGGGTTTTACAAATTTTTAATGAACACAAAAACTTGGATCGTTGACTCGAATTCCTATAGCTTCTGCTGTGTGTAAGAGACGAGCTCGAACACCATAAGGAAAACTAATAGCAAAACAACAAACAACTTTAAATGACTTGTTTCTGTGCACTACATGACCGCTATCGATCAAGTGTGATATAATCGAGCACCATATTGTCTTGACATTACCTTTTCCTAACCACGAAGAAAGGAGTTCACTAACTCTTTGGTTCAGTTGCTTGGTAGTACGTCCTATATAGGTTTCTCCGCAGAAGCACCTAAATTCGTAGATACATATATAAGTGGCATAACTGGGTTACTTATGCTTTAGTTGGGAGTTCACCATAGATCGGATCAAATATGATAGACAGAGGTTGACTGCACTAAACGTTCTCTTCACTACTCTAGTCAGTCTATCAAGTAGTACATCACCAGTTACATCTCCATTGCATTGCAGCTCTAAGAAAAGAGGTTTCTTACTAGCCGTTGATGTCGCTATCTTCTGATTTGTTACACTCAAGTAATTCTTCTGGAAACCCTGTGGATAACCCATTTCAATCAACATATTATGAATTAGCTTTAATTCATTAACAATTATGTCGACTGAGCATATCTTAATAGCTCTATTTGCAACACATTTGCATAAGCTTCTCGTATCATGAAGAGGTACAAAGCTTGAGAAATGTGTGTATTGGCTAGATAAAGAACTTTTTCTATACGCATCTCTGCTGATAGAACCATTTTCTTATGTATTTAAGAAAACGCCGAAGAAATGTAGTTTCTTATCTATGTCCTTTTCACATGTAAAATTAATTGCTGTATGTTTGTTGTCGAATAGTTCTAATAGTTCTTCTTTTCTAATGTTCTGATCGGCAATAATGAAAGTGTCATCAACGTAGCGACAGTAGAATTCAAGCTTATTGATAACCTCTTTGAGAGATTCGTTTTCTACTTGATATTGTTCTACTTGAATCTTCCCATTGATGTTTTTGGACTGAAATTGATCAGTCTCTTATCGGCATATGTGCATACTGTGCGTATGCCTCGATATTGCCTTAATTTACAAGCATTATAAGCAAAGATGGATAGTGGCTAGCAGTGTAATCTAGGACGCGCGTTTTGTCCTGTTCGAGTCCCAGAGTGAACATCAACTCTGAGATGCAGGTACATCCAGCTGACGAGCCCCAAACAGGACGAAACGCGCGTCCTGGATTCCACTGCTAGCCACTATCCATCTTTGCTTATGATTCGTTTTCTAGTTTCGCCAGAAAAAAATCCACAAGGATGGGACCTAGAGGCGAACCCATCCTGACATACACATCTCACTCAAGCCCACTGGATCGAACACACAGCGACTATGTGGTTTACCTAAAGTCCAAGAGACAGGTCTTCCTCTTCGCCGAGTGTTAGATATGTATAATTCGCCTTATCATAAGACTGCAAAGTGGCTAGTTCGAATCCTAAATCAATATTGGAATTCCTGAAGTTAGTCTTAAAGAATTACTTTTGAAATGCACAATGAATGTTCATTTTGTCTTTAATAACATATATTATAAACAAATTGATGGTATAGCGATGGGTTCGCCTCTAGGTCCCATCCTTGTGGATTTTTTTCTGGCGAAACTAGAAAACGAATCATAAGCAAAGATGGATAGTGGCTAGCAGTGGAATCCAGGACGCGCGTTTCGTCCTGTTTGGGGCTCGTCAGCTGGATGTACCTGCATCTCAGAGTTGATGTTCACTCTGGGACTCGAACAGGACAAAACGCGCGTCCTAGATTACACTGCTAGCCACTATCCATCTTTGCTTATAATGCTTGTAAATTAAGGCAATATCGAGGCATACGCACAGTATGCACATATGCCGATAAGAGACTGATCAATTTCAGTCCAAAAACATCAATGGGAAGATTCAAGTAGAACAATATCAAGTAGAAAACGAATCTCTCAAAGAGGTTATCAATAAGCTTGATTTCTACTGTCGTTACGTTGATGACACTTTCATCATTGCCGATCAGAATATTAGAAAAGAACAACTACTAGAACTATTTAATAACGAACATCCTGCAATTAAATTTACATATGAAGAGGAAATAGATAATAAACTACATTTCCTTGACGTTTTGTTAAATATAAAAGAAAATGGTTCTATCAGCAGAGGTGTGTATAGAGAAAGTTCTTCTTCAAGCCAACGCACACATTTTTTTAGCTTTGTGCCTCTTCATTATAAGAGAAACTTAGTCAAATGTCTGGCAAATAGAGCTATTAAGATATGCTCAGTTGACACAATTGATAAGGAATTAGAACACATTCATAATATGTTGATTGAATTGGGATATCCACAGGGTTTCCTGAAGAAACACTTGCTTGTAACAAGCAAGAAAATAGTGACACTAACGGCTAATAAGAAACCTCTTTTCTTGAAGCTGCAATAAAAAAAAAAAATCAGTGGTGATGTATTACGTGATAGACTGACTAGAGCAGTCAAGAGAACGTTTAATGCTGCCGACCTCTGTCTATCGTATTCGACCCGATCTATGGTGATTCCCCAACTGAAGGATAAGTTACCTGGTTATGCCACTTCTATGTGTATCTACGAATTCAGCTGCTCCTGTAGAGAAAGCTATATTGGGCGCACTACCAGGCAACTGAACCAAAGAGTTAATGAACACCTCCCTTCGTGGTTAGGAAAAGGTAATGTCAAGACAATACGCAGCTCGGTTCTATCACACAAGATTGATAGCGGTCATGTAGTGGACAGAAACAAGTCGTTTAAAGTTATTCATCGTATTCGCACTAGTTTTCCTTATGGTGTTCGATCTCGTCTCTTACACATAGCAGAAGCTATAGGAATTCGAGCCAACAAGCCATGTCTTTGTGTTCAGAAGAAATTTGTAACACCCTTATCTCTCCCTTGGCCTTAATAAATGAATTTATTTATTATTTTTTCAAACTTTCTCTTCGTTTATTATTTTTCTTCACCCCCTCCTACCATTTCGTTTTATTTTCTCTCAAATAAACGTTTCACGGTCCAATTATCTGAACACTTCTTATTATGACATCTTATAATTTTATAAATGTTATTTCACTTTCTAACTCCGCCTGTAGCTCTAATAGGGTTACTGCCGGTCCCAAGCCCGGGTAAAGGAGGAGGGTTGGGCATGGGGTTAGCGTCCCCATCCCGTAGAAAACTAACTCGCTAAAAAAACGCTTACCAGAAAAAATTATTCAAACCATTTAAACTCTGCCCTGGGAGTTAGAAGGTCTTCAGTTAGAAGAATTATGACGCTTCATGGTGAAAGCCGAGTTCCTTCGGAAGCCACGAGGCCGATGCCCCTTCTAACAACCAGAGCAAAAATTTTTATAGGTACATGGAACGTTCGAACAATGTGGGAAACCGGGAAGACCAGTCAAATAGCAATGGAAATGAGGAGATACAACTTAGCAGTACTGGGAATCAGCGAAACCCACTGGACCCAAGCTGGACAGAAAAGGCTAGCTACGGGAGAGATGCTGCTATACTCCGGTCACGAAGAGGACAATGCTCCACACACTCAGGGAGTCGCTCTTATGCTGTCCAAAGTAGCACGAAATGCACTTGTAGGATGGGAGTCTCACGGATCCAGAATCATCAAAGCATCATTCAAAACAAAGAAGGAGGGGATCTTAATGAATATTATCCAATGTTATGCACCCACCAATGATAGCAACGACGACATTAAAGATCAGTTCTACGAGCGGCTACAGTCAATCATTGAGAAATGCCAAGAAAGGACCTAACTATTCTGATGGGAGATCTAAATGCCAAAGTCGGAATAGACAACACCGGATATGAAGATATCATGGGACGACATGGACTGGGACAGAGAAACGAAAATGGAGAAAGATTTGCAAATCTATGTGCATTCAACAAATTGGTCATAGGAGGCACAATATTTCCACACAAGCGTATACACAAGGCTACATGGATCTCACCGGACCACACTACAGAGAACCAAATAGATCATATTTGCATCAACAAAAAATTCCGAAGGACAATGGAAGATGTAAGAACCAGGAGAGGTGCTGACGTAGCTTCAGATCACCACCTAGTTGTAGCCAATTTAAAACTGAAGCTAAAAAAGAACTGGACAAGTGGACCAACAGCACTACAAAGGTTCAATACAGCCTTCCTTCGAGATACTGACAAACTCAATGAATTCAAGATAGCTCTCAACAACAGGTTCCAAGCCTTACAAGATCTACTGAAAGAAGAAGAAACTAGTATGGAGGACAACTGGAAAGGCATCAAGGAAGCATTAACTTCAACGTGTCAAGAGGTTCTGGGCCTAAAGAAACACCATCATAAGGAATGGATCTCTATAGAAACACTGGACAAGATCAAAGAAAGGAAGAACAAGAAGGCAGCAATTAACAACAGCCGAACACGAGCAGAGAAAGTTCAAGCACAAGCTGAATACATAGAAGCAAACAAACAAGTGAAGAGGTGCATTAGAGCCGACAAGAAGAAATACGTGGAAGAACTAGCAACGACGGCAGAAAAAGCTGCTAGAGAAGGAAATATGAAACAGCTTTACGATACAACGAAGAAACTAGCAGGGAAATACAGTAAACCAGAGAGGCCGGTCAAAGACAAAGAAGGCAAGCCAATCACCGAAATTCAACATCAGCGTAACAGATGGGTGGAATACTTCGAGGAACTCCTGAATAGGCCGGCTCCAATGAATCCACCGGACATCGAAGCAGCACACATAGATCTTCCTATAGATGTCAACCCACCAACGACGGAAGAAATTAGAATGGCCGTCAGACAAATCAAGAACGGGAAAGCAGCAGGACCCGACAACATACCAGCTGAAGCACTGAAATCAGACATCGAAGCAACCACAAGCATGCTGTACCTTCTATTCAAAAAGATTTGGGAGGAGGAACAAGTGCCGATGGACTGGAAAGAAGGACACCTCGTCAAGATTCCAAAGAAAGGAGATCTGAGCAAATGTGAAAACTACAGAGGCATTACACTACTGTCAATACCAGGGAAAGTCTTCAACAGAGTGTTGCTGAACCGTATGAAGGATGCAGTAGACGCCCAACTTCGAGATCAACAAGCTGGATTCCGTAAGGATCGGTCGTGCACAGACCAAATTGCAACACTACGGATCATCGTCGAACAATCAGTGAGTGGAACTCATCACTATACATCAACTTCATTGATTATGAAAAGGCATTCGACAGTGTAGATAGGAGGACATTATGGAAACTTCTTCGACACTACGGAGTTCCTGAGAAGATTGTCAACATTATCCGGAACTCATACGACGGACTACAGTGCAAAGTAGTGCATGGAGGACAGCTGACAGATGCATTCCAAGTAAGGACTGGAGTCAGACAAGGCTGTTTACTCTCTCCCTTCCTCTTTCTTCTGGTGGTCGACTGGATTATGAAGACCTCGACATCTGAAGGAAAACACGGAATACAATGGACAACTCAGAATCAATTAGACGATTTGGACTTCGCAGACGACCTAGCCCTCCTATCACGTACACACGAACAGATGCAGATGAAGACAGCCAGTGTAGCAGCAGTCTCTGCATCAGTAGGCCTCAGCATACACAAAGGGAAAACCAAGGTCCTCAAATTCAACACGCAGAACAGCAATCCAATCACTCTTGATGGCGAAACTCTGGAAGATGTAGAGTCCTTCACATACCTAGGAAGCATCATCGATGAACAAGGAGGTTCAGATGCAGACGTAAAGGCGAGGATCGGCAAAGCAAGGGTCGCATTCCTACAATTGAAGAACATATGGAACTCAAAACAACTTTCAACCAATATCAAAGTGAGAATCTTCAATACGAACGTCAAGGCAGTTCTACTGTATGGAGCTGAAACTTGGAGAACTACAACAACCACCATCAAGAAAGTACAAGTATTTATAAATAGCTGCCTACGCAAGATACTCAACATCCACTGGCCGGATACCATCAGCAATAGCCTTCTGTGGGAGAGAACAAAGCAACTTCCAGCTGAAGAAGAAATTAGGAAAAGACGATGGAAATGGATAGGACATACATTACGCAAACCGTCAAACTGCATCACGAGGCAAGCCCTAACTTGGAACCCTGAAGGGAGGCGAAAAAGAGGAAGGCCAAAGAACACATTGCGTCGGATTATAGAAGCAGATATGAAAAGGATGAATTACAACTGGACGGAGCTAGAAAGGATTGCCCAGGACAGGGTTGGATGGAGAATGCTGGTGAGTGGCCTATGCTCCTTCACGAGGATTTACAGGCGTAAGTAAGTAATTTCACTGTCTATATTTTTCTCATCATTGACCTATTTCCGATTACGTAACATTGATTTGAGCCTTTATTATTCTTATCAAAACTAATGCACCTGTTACCACACTATCAATTTGTACTTTTCACTTATTATGTAATCTTTTTCATTGTTATCGTTGACTCATAAACTACCTTGATTGGTTTAATAATTTCGTATATGCATATAAATACTACTGTATATTAGAGTAAAGCCTGATGAGGATCTAATCGAAGACAAGATTGTTGGCTTATATATGTTGTTCTAAATGTAAAATGACCTTTTCAGAAAAGCGTGAATGGTACCGAATGTAAATGTACATCAAACTGTAAACACAGTAAAAACTGTGAAAAGTTTAAAAAACGATAAGTACTAAATCAAGAATGGACACCGAAGACTTTGTGTTGCATATATGTTAAGGACTTTGATATTTTATACATCGTTCGTCTACACTTTTCACTTCATTACTGAGATTATTTGTTAGGATCACATATTTAACAACCATTTGAAATAAATTAGACGTAATGAAGGAACAGAGAACCAGGTAGTACATATATACCGCCGATCATTATGCCGCAACCAAGTGAAGAACACATATAACATGTTACTTTTCTCTTGCAGGAATATGTATACATAATGTTGATGTCAGTCAGTTGCAACGTAGAACCTGGCAAGTATATACATCAGTTTAAGTCGCCATACTTCATTAGCACAGATAGGTGAGATTATCAGCCCAAATATGAGGGTGGTAGAGATAATCGAAAAGATTAGGCATAGAAGATACGATTAAAAAACATAAATTAGTGAAATAAAAGGAAATTGAGCAATTCAGAAGCTTAGAAGTCAGGGAAGACAAAGAATGGATGCATCTGCACTATGGCAAACGATTTTGAGTCGTGTTATTCAAATTATTCAACCACTGGTTAAGATAATTAAGTGGACCCCAACTAGGTAGTCTGCACCTTTTAACCTGCCTCCATTAAAATGTCAATGGCTTGATAGACTTATCTTAAGTTTTGATTTGGCCGCCCCTAGCTTTCTTTTAGCTTACTGCTGCACCAGAAAACATTGTTCGTCGAGGTAGGCGGTGGTTGGGCATACGTAATACACGTACCAATCTCCTCAGTTGATGAAGATTCACTACCTTATCAACCGATTTCCCATCTTTGCCTAGTATTCTATTGCTAACCCAGCTATTCTTTACTCCAAAGTCCCAAAATACACGAGTGATGCTTCGTAGACACCTATAATCGAATTCCTGTAACCGTAGAATATCTTCTATTCTTAATCGTTATGTTTCACATCCATTAAGTAGAAAGGAGTAAAATGATGTGCAGTAAATTTGTACTTTGGTTGGAAGACGGATATCTTGCCCACTCCACAAGTGATTTAAGTTGGCAAAAGCCAATCGAGCTTTATGAATCCGTGCTGAGATTTTGTCAGACACCAGACCGTCGGTACTAATGAGACTCCTAAGATAAGTGAGGCGGCTGATGCGTTCAACTAGTTCACTCTCTACCATTAGTACAGGCGCCGACCCTAACCAATCCTGAAGCAACATTTTACATTTGGAAGGAGAGAACCGCATCCCAAACATGTCTGGATTATAGCTTAAGGTGGTTAGAAGACTCTGGATTTTGTCAGCGTCTTCCCCAAACAGAAATATGGCATATGTGTATACCAAGTCAACAAGTGAATCTCCTAGTAGATCAATCTCTGAAAAGTCAGACGACGAAAGTGTTATCTCTAAAACCATGTCAAGAGTGGGAAAAGAGGGACATCCTGACGAACACTAGTTGAAGTAACCGATTCCGATGACAGCTGACCAGTAGTGTTTATGGTAGTGTGAAGTTTGATAAACATTGTTATGAGTTATTCAAGATCCCGACAAGTTATTACTAAGTTCAACAACAAAAAAATCATACTTACTCGACTATTTTGCGGTTTACCGTTCGGCCAATTAGTAGAGTTGCACAAATTCACGAGAGTTTCATATCGTATTTTTGCTTGCCTGGTAGGTATTGATTTAATGCTTTCTGAAGATAAATCAGCACATTTAGATAGATGTGATTCGTTTAGTTGCTTAGAATCAATCGAACTGATTGAGTTAGAAACACTCTTAACATCTGAATGATTTGTCCTGTGAACATGTATTGGTTGTGTTCTGGGTCTTCTTAGTTTTGAATGAAGATTAAGGGAGACGATATAAGCAACAGAATTATTTTGTAAATCTAAATGAACTGAATTTACTGGGTTTGGTTCATTTCTGACAAGTGATGTGGTGCCTGGTTTCTCGATATCTGGAGATCCAACTAACGACAGTGTACTAGAAGCAGATATATGTGGTCTTTTAGTAAACCAAGGAGTAGTGACACGAAACAAAGTCTAGAGAATCAAAAAAATATTTTTTCAACGACAAAACAGACAGAAAATAATTATTTTGAAGTTGTACATTGGGCTATAAGAAAAAACTGACAATCACCATACAAAAAATAACACTTAGTGACCAGTTAGTGTTCAAGTGTGTCAAGGGATATGAAAAACATACGATACTTATAATTAGCGCATAAGTTTGTGACAGAAAAAGTTATCAAAACGCAAATTTGGCCAACACTGAAGAAAGAAGCACTCCATATATCGGATGTTTCAAGATTCCAAATACCTGTGCTAGGAATCAAACATAACAGCTCATCGTTTACGGCTGCGAAGCGTGGCCATTAAGGGTGGAGATACTCGTAAGTTAACGGTATTTAGTCATAGATGTCTTAGAAATATTGCTCGCATCTGCTGGGATCACTGTGTACGTAATAGTGAGGTTAGATGCAAGGTATCAGGGAATAATGGTAAATCAGTTGATGAGGTTGTGAATCTTTATTAACTGACATGACTGGGCCGCGTGCTGCGTATGTCTGGACACCGATTACCACGACGCGCAATGTGGACTAGTGCTGGAAATGGTTGGAATAAAGTTAGGGGCGGCCGAACCAAAACGTGGCATCTGTCTTTGAAGGTACTAACTTCTGATCTGAGCAATGTCGGTAGATGCAGACTACTTGGTTGGAGTCCGCGTGACTATCGTAACCAATGGTTGGAGACTTGGTGACATGGCTCAGAATCGATCACAATGGCGTCAGTGTATACACTCCTTATCTTCCCTTAAGCTATGAGATTAAAATCGTTTCATATCTTTCTTTCTACCAACTAATTTTGTCATCCTGTACTATGTCATTGTATGCAATTTTTCTTTTATATATTATCACCACTGAATTAACTACTTCTAGGAATCCGTGTTCATCTTGTTGTGCTAATGAGGTATGGTAACTTTGACCGATGCACATATGTGCCTGGTTGTACATTGTAGATGATTGACTTGACATCATACACCGAAATGGAAAAATCGGGAAAATGAAAGTAGAGATAATTATTTCACTAAAAAATAAGCTGCTAGTTAACAAATGCTATGAATTAGTCTTTTATGATTTGTGGAAAACGAATTTTCGGGATTGTCGAATACACGGATTAATAAAATGTAATAAATACAATGTCAGACACCATTGATGTGGTCGAGTGACGATTGCTTACGAGGTGGAATTATTGGGCGAATTCCTCCATCGAAATAATATAGAGATAAAACAGCCTCCTGGCAAAATATTTTTGCTGCTAGCAAAAACATACGCTTACGTAATAAATACTGAACACAAGAATAAATGTTAGAAGTCAGTGCGCGAACGAATGGAGGACACTGCAACTATACGTCGCTCACCCTTTTATGGAATTAGTGTCTTACTATCGGGGTTAATATTGTCTCGTCATATCAAGAAGAAACATGATAGATCGGGAAAAAATTGGATGCGTTTGAAACACTTGAATAACTCATAGAACTGTTAGATCTCAATAGTATATCTTCCATGAGTATCCAGATACAGGAAGGGTGAATCACGCCGATTTTCTACATTAGATGCCCCCGAATGCCCTGGTACGGTCGAGATTGGGGAGAGTCCGCTCTCCCCCTCGAAATGCTCTCACATGGCCACGAGTATGCAGCCCAACTTGTCATCATCGAAAAGACAAGGTCTATGTTTCACCAAAAGCCCAAACAGCATGAAAACGATTGTGTCACATCCCATAGTGTCTATAAATTTACATGTATGTGTGGAAACACGTACGTAGGGAGGAGCAACCGTGATTTGCAATTAAGGGTGGGTGAACATATACCAAAATGGTTGCAAAATCAGATGAATTCCAATGGTGAAATAAGATCTCAGGATAGACAGACATCATCATCCATTGCGAAACATTTGATTGAGACGGGTTGTACAAAAGCCTTCAAGAACGTATACTAAGGTTTATTGAAGCCTTGGCTATACGAAAATTGAAACCCCCTTTATGTGTTCAAAAACAATTTGTACTTACACTTAACCTACCCTGGTAGTACTGATTTACTATACAGAGTGGTAATCACATTTGTTTTTGTGTACTTTAATACTTTTTCCTTTGTTATGGCTTACCTTTAACCTGTCTAGTTGACCTTTTAATTTTTCATATATAAATGTTCTTAACAAGTATATGTGTGATCAGATTGTTCGAAATGTATTGCGCAAATATATCACATAATTCTGATAAACTACGTCTTCTCATTGCATTATCGAAATATATAAACTCTGCCAGGGAAGTCCTGCTAACTGCCTTCTCGTGGCGGGGGTGTTGTTTACGAAAATGAGAGGACGAAAAGCGAATGTCCGCGCTATAACCGGATTCCAAATCAATGGTGCACATGGGGTCCAGTATCCTGAGGGAACAAATGGCGTATGAACCAATTTCTTGGTCACCGGCTACCATGGGACTGCAAGTCCTCACGACGCTCCACTGCCTTGTGGATCAGACCTTCAGGTCAAAGGCTCGGGAGTGGCCCCCTGAGAAAACCACCTGCTTCGGTTTGGGCACCCGGGCAGTATCACAGCCCTCACACATATCGAGTGAGATTTGTGTGGCGCATATGTATTTGGTGCCTCCTTGTACCAATATCTATGTGTTAAAATAAATAAATAATAAATAAATCTACATTAGATAAATGAGGTCAAGTGAATGACCACGCTTAAGTTTTGTATGTGTGCTTCATATGAACAGTAAATCAATTGTATAGAAGTTTAGTCTTGTCTAGAGAAGCACATTGTTCCATCGAATCCAGGTTCCACGCAGTTTAGATTATGGTTTTAGAAGACTAAGAATAGAACTCTGTTAGATAGAACTGGTAGCAGTGATTAAGCGTGAAAAAGACAACCCGACAGCACGGTTGATAATAGGAGTAGGGAATTAAGGAGCTTTATTGTGGAAAACGTTAAATTGAGCACTGTCAGTTGTGTTGGCAGTTGTCATTTTTAGGTTACTCACATTCTCAAAAGCAATTGAATTAGATTATTATGTCACGAATATCAGTCTTTACTGTTACAGACTGAGAAGTATTTGGATGAAATGTAGTCATTCAAACAAAACATGCTGTCTTCTAAAGCAATTTGTTTTAAATACATGAGTGGTATCTATGGAACGAAAAACAAAACTACAAAATCGAAAAGCAAATTACTTGACCTAAAAGAAACTTGTAGAAAGAAAGTAACTAGTGCAGACTAAGCTAAGTCACGAAAATCACTCAGGTTTGCTATGAAGCAAATTACGAACATCAAGTGTTTTGATCCTATAAAAGTACAAATTAATTTAATTAGGCATTCATCCAACACTTCTGGCGAGGATGGTATACATAGTTGAGAATTAGTTAGTTACATGACGTATTAAAACTTTTCCCGTCACTTAAAGATAAAAGAGAAAACACATTTTTTAGTGCCTCAAACGGTGGTAAGAAGACTAGATATGGGTAATAAAACTATCATACCTAACATGTTAATAAACGTAATCTTGTCGTACCGATATATGATAATGGCAGGAGCACCAACCTAAGGAATGGACTTATAAATTACAGATCAAGTGACTTGGGCTAAGTCTCTTGTCAACCAATTCACAAAATGTATATGTATGGTCGAACTACATAATCAGAGATACGCCACTACTGAGATAATTATTTACTACGGAATAACAGGACATAACAAAAAGGTCGAAATTAAATCTAAAAAGACAAAAGATTTTATGGTAAGAATATCTAGAGTATACTCTGTAATTTCAACTTTTTTGTAGGGTTAACTCATCTGAAAAATGCTTATGAAGACTAAATAATGAGGAATGATGACATATAGAGATCCTGTCAGTCACACTAACCAAATATGAGCAAAACTGTTAATAATAAAAGCAGGGACAGATAATACCACTGATTTATCATATATTTTGTTAAAAACTTGGGAAGGATGTTATAGGTTAAAAACTGACATGATACATATGTGTGCTGTGACGTGCAGCGACCGAGATCTGATATTGATACACGGTATGCTATGCGCTAACCCCCAACTGAATACTTGAGCGAGAACACACGAGTGAGCGGAAAGTGTATTGCAATACGGAATAAAATGAACGAATACTCATATACCAATATATCCCGACCGTTGTTGCTACCTTGACGTGGTGGTCAGGCTTGCCTATCGTGATGAAGCAACCGAGCTATATTGGCTGGAACAACTGTTCCTCAAGGTCCTACCACGTCAGAAAGGTCGGTTGAAGAGCGGTAAGACTAAAAGCAACAAACCCAAGGTCCGAAGGCGAAGTCGTACTACTGACTGTACAGAGGTGTGACAGCAGTAAGGTGTTTCCTTCAGACAACCAGCATGACAAAGATGCTGCCTTCCCACAAGGAGGGGTAGGGTTAGAAAAGGTCGACCCTAAAAATACACACCTCGCCTTATCTCACGGATATCCGTCTCCGGCGGTAAGTTCTCAACAAGTACGGAGCTAACACAAAAATTGCCCATAAAAAGGTCGTGTGTGACTGACCTCAAGCAGTTGTCCCTTGGGCACTGCGGTCACGCTCCCAGGTCACTAAGACCACTTCTAATCCGATTTCGTTTTCAGGTACCTCCAGAAGAACCCTTCCACGGTGTGGGCAACCGGGAAGTGATAACCGCCCTCATACCTCTAACAGCACTCAAGACCACTGACTGACTGATACCAATATATCCTTAGGAAGTTGACCCATCGATCTCAATGAAAAGCAACTGTCCTTTAGTTCACTTCTGATTGCCATAGAATGGCCTTTTGCTACTTCTGATTGGCTCTCTATATCAATATGCATAACGAAGTTTTGATTTGATTGTTTAGAAAAATCCGACTATTAGAGAGATGATACACATGTTAAGGTTTTCGTTTCTCAGTGAATAAAAATTATTATGACGACGATCTTGCGTGTTTTTGTATTCGTTGGGGGATGATAACCTTAATTTAGCATTTAGCCTGAACAAACATTAAATGAGTGGTTTTAAAACTGTTCGTAATTCCAGACAAATTGATCATTAAATGATTAATAATTGTGGAGATCCTTATCTCAACGTAGACTTTAATGAATCAAGTTGTACACAAAACTAACTGTCTCCTACTGATTAGCCACAAAAATCGAAGTGAGAATGCATTCTATGCATAGTGTTGATTAGTGACCAAATCACTTCGGTAAAAAATCACTCAAAACAGCATCCTTGTTGATTTATCGTCAGAATTTTATTATATTAGACAGCTTGAATTCTTTGGTAGTTGGCAACTGGAAAACACTTCATACATAGTTGGTACTTTGTCAACTTGTTGATATCTATTTCTTTTTGCAGTGGTGTTCAAGATTCTTTGTATTTATCGTATTTCTACGTATGTGTTATGTTATGGTAGGATCAGTAGTCTCATTTTATTAGCTATTCATCAGAAGAAACAATTTGGAACACCCAATAAATAAGTATCTATAAATCTAAATTAAAAGTGATAATCACATGTAAAAGCTCTCACTTTGGAACGAATCAAGCTTTTGGCTGTTGCTAGAAGAGCTGCTTTGGATGCCTGAGTTTTTCGCTCGTGGACCAAGTTAAGTAATATAATAAAGTCATCACTGGCTTCACGAAGCATTAAAAGCTCGTCTCGTTCCGCTAGAGAATCCACTAAGCAATCTGAAAGTTGCATAATTTCGTCATTCATTTGCTGAACATAAAGCTTGAGAACGCTGGTTTTCAAATTCTGAAGGTCTGAAAAGGCATTTTATGAAAATAGTTTGCCTAGTAAAGTTTTGTGAAGCAAAGATGTGAATTCATTTCATTTCGTTCGTTCTAAAACTTGCATATACGTATTAATTTATCTAAATATATAAGATGTTCCATAGATATGAATCTGTGTCACATGCATAAAGTCATTTAATTCACCGATGAATAATTATAAAATGTTTTAAAAAATTTACGATTGGTGGCAAATCCACAAAAGCCAGGTTTAGTTCATGATTTAGCGGGTACCATAAGTTAAAAAACGAGTCTTATTTATTTGTACCGAGATTTTATTAGTTGTCAACTTATCAGGATTGATGTGGTTCTAGAGATCGGCTGATTGATCATGTCAAAAACATTGATTTATGTGTTGTTTTGAGCCACATTTTTGTTCAGGTTTCCCAAGCCAAAGTACGCGAGACAGATTTAAAATCATCAACCTTATAAATGAAAGTTGATTGCGGTAACCACCAAAACACTGATAAATATATTAGCATACTTAATCCTCTACAGTCAAAATACGTACTACGACAGACCATACTTAAAACAAAATATTGCATTGGTAGGCAGAAATAAGTGATCTATAAATACTTTCATCAAGATCTCCATTTGACAGAAATACACTGAGTCAACCATTAGTTAGTCAGGAAGTGGTATGAAGAAGAATCCTAAAAGCCGATTTCCTTAATGTTTGCGATGAATTTATTAGGTATGTACAAGAGTTAAATTGAGAATCCACACAAAAGTATTAACCACTTTGAACTACGAGTGCTAGAATCACTTTTGAACTTCCTGAAACTTCGTTTTCCCAAGACTATTTAAAGCATTACTAGTACTTTTTGAAATATGAAAGCCGTAAAATGAGTTTTATTCCAAACATAGGATATTTAGAAAACGCTTTTGAATTATTTCTATAGAAGATTAACTGAACTATGAATAATAACAACGGGAGTATATTGTTATACCAAATGCCCTGGTACGGCCGAGAGTGTAGTCATTTCTCCCTCTCGAAATGCTCTCACATGACCACGCGTATATAGACTCTGCCAGGGAAGTCCTACTAACTGCCTTCTCGCACCACGGGTGTTGTTTACGAAATTGAGAGGACGAAAAGCGAATGCCCGGTGCTTTAACCGGGTCGACGGACACGGAGAGTCCACCTAGGGGAGTTGGAAAACCCCGATCTTTAAAAAAGGTGTACATGGGCTCCAGTATCCTGAGCGAACAAATAGCGTACGAATCAATTATCGGTCACCGGGTACCATGGGACTGCATCTCCTTAGGTTGCTCTACTGCCTTGTGGATCAGACCCTTTAGGTCAAAGGCTCGGGCGTGGCCCCCTGAGAAAACCACCTGCTTCGGTTTGGGCACCCGGGCAGTATCACAGCCCTCACACAAATCAAATGAGATTTGTGTGGCGCATATGTATCTGGTGCCTCCTTGTACCAATATCTATGTGTTCAAATAAGTAAATAAATAAAACTGGATAATAACTAATTTAGTATTTCACTATGTACATCTATACAAAACAAATACTTACCATCTACCCAACTTTGAGTTTTTTTCAAAGGTAGGGAAGGATGGTGAGATTGAAAAATGTCAAGGATGTTTTCATCATCAAAATCTTTAAAATAACTGTTTAGCTCTTCGTCGGTGTTTGAGATTCCACTATCGGGGATTTGGGCCAATGTATTTGGAAAACCTCCATCAAGTGTTGATGAACGAGGACTAACTGACACGGATGACAAGGATAAAGTAGTAACAGTGCCTCGTCCTGAATAAATAGATTCGTTTGAGTAATTTAAAGCCTGTGAGAAAAACAAGAATGTCAATGAATAAGCTGATATATTCAGACAAAACTTAAGTGGCAATGCCTCAAACTAATCGGTATTCGAAAGAAATAACTATAAATTGTTGTGAAGTTATAAATTCTCAACCCAAGATGTGAATGAATTAATGCATATGTAGAAAAATAACCATTACCTTAAACATAACTACCCGAATGAATCAGCATAAAACCTGGTACAATACAAGAGCTTAATTTTTTTCCACTGTCTGAAATTAAGCTGGGTCCTAATGCAAAGTAGATTAGAAGCAGGATTTAGCACTTGGGTATAAAGCGCGCACAATACATTTTTATTCAGGTCACTCAGTCGATGAATCCGATTGCAAGTATTTGGTCCAACCCATGTAGAGCTACTAACGAGAAGACAAATATTTAAAGGAACAAGGGAATTTTGGTAGATATTCTGATGAGGGCGAAACAACTTTTAGCAGAATGTGTAAGAGGTTATCAAGCGTCAATTTCTAAAGGTATAATGTTGTTGTAGGGTACGTTATCAACGAAAAGTACCGAAACATGTTTCACCTCGTTATCTTCATACTGAAAGATAAAAGCGGTGAGGAACGTCACTAAGTATTCCTAGGTTTCTCAAATCAACGGAGTAAGAACACAAGTCCACCTCCACTCGGACTTAACAACGTATACCACAACGTGGGTTTTTAAGTTTACCATAATTTTACCAACAGAAGTACGAAAAAACTTAAGTCGGATCCAAGCTTAAGTTATAAATCCACAATTTTTTGGAAGTAATAACAATTATTGCTTAACCTAATAAACATGTAAGAGTTTGCGCACAGGACCATAAAAAGATTAGCGTTAAAAATGTCGTCTTAAAAGGGAACACTAGTTTTACAACTGGAAGTACAAGGTGATCAACCTCTGAATCCCTTAAATTTGTAGAGTGAATGTTGCTGATTTCGCTATCATCTGCTACCTAGTTTAGTAATAATAATAACAACAATAATAGTGGCTCTATTCAATATATGTTAGGTTTAATATGAAACTCTCAGCATACAATATTAAAAGGTTTCTCTTACTCTTTATACCACAAAAACAATGATAATCGAATACATTAACATATGAAATAAGTAAACAGAATATTTTTCAGAACTTAAGAATCTTTAAGGCAGTGAATGTGCAACGTGTTTATGGATATGCTTCTGATTAAGTCAACTCTTACAAAACGTTCGTCGTGTAGTATATGTGTTAGGTACAGTATTGTTAGGCTTCTGTACTTTTGCTCGTATGCACGGATTCTAATATATATGAGTCTCCTTCTACTGGAAGATCAACAGGATTTGGATGGACTAGATGGTTAGTACCTGACAAAATAACACGCCAGTAGTTTGTAAGATTTCAAACGTATTCATAATGACAATAAAAGATTTACCACATACCTAACCAACTGCCTTTGGCACTTCCGGCAGCGTTTAAACATAGAAAATTTAGAGGTGTAGTTAATAGAGTAGCGTTAAATGAATAAGTGCTTTGTGGAAGAAACTCTAGAGTGACATAGAAAGCTCATGGAATTAGGACGGGGACAAATCAAACCTAACAAGTAGGTTTTAATTGATTGAGGAATGAGTGACCTACAAAACTCATACATTCCAAACGCTTACGAAATAAATTACTTTTGCTGTGTATACAACATTTTGTACACTAGCATTTTATTTTACTAGACAAACCCTTTTTTGTTGGCCAGTTATCAACCCAATCGGAGGCCCAACCCGTGAAGTCAGCTTAGCCACATCGATTTATTAAGAATAGTCTATTTACTATTGCAACAACCTCAAACCATGTAACTTATTATCGAATCTTCAAAGCACAGAAAAACTACGAACTCGAGAAAACGTACTGAGAAAGGAAGATGAAGACAATTACCATCAACTACGAGAGACTGATAGATTTTAGTGTGTGACCGAACAAATCAGTGCAAGTAATCGCATTCGGAGAGTCCTTTCCTTAAAATTTCTGGAAGTGGAAATAAATCAATGTTACCAACCGTGTAGCCTATAAGATGTCTACCGGGAACTAGTATTTAAAGAGCTGCTGGTTATTAAACATTCGTTAATTTTTAGAAAGTCAGTCAGTAACAACGTAGAAATTTGTACGTACGTACATCAGTTCGAGTTGCCACACCACATTAGCACAGAGATGCAGTGGTTGATTCAAATCCCGTAGTAGTAGATGTAATAAGAGTATAAGCAGTAATCGGGAAGATTAGTGTTTGGAGATGTTACTTAAAGAGTATAATACAGTGAAATAAATTTGAGGAGAGAAAAAAGAGACGAGGAATAAGGAGATCAAAATTTGGGAGAACACAAAGAGTGTATGCACCTGCGCCATTGTAAACGATTTTGAGCCATGTCATTCAGGGTCTCTAACCATCGGTTGCTATCATCTCGCGGTCCCCAACCAGGTAGTCTACACCTACCGACATGACTCAGACCACTTGTCAGTGACTTCATGGACTTGTGCCATGTTTTGGTCTGGCCGCCCCTAGCTTTCTTCCAACCTACTCCTATACCACTGAACATCGCACGTCGAGGCAGTCGGTCGTTGGGCATACGTAACACGTATCCCAGCCATCTCAACTGATGAAGTTTCACTACGTCATCAATTGGTTTGCCATCTTTACCTAGTACCCGTTTCCTAACAACTGCATTACTTACTCGATGGTCCCACGATATACGAGCAATATTTCGAAGACACCTATGATCAAATACTAGTAACCTACGAATATAATTTTTAGAAAACATTCGGAAGAGGGAAAACACGGAATATAGATGAATCTATGGTTCATGAACTCAACTTGTTTTAACTAATTCAGAGATCAGAAGTGATACTGTACCGGTTGTCGAACACTCGAGCGGTAATACTTACTGCTATAGCGCCTTTACCTACACGTGTGATTTTACTCGGAGAACCAAGAATCATATATACTGCGAAGGCAACGGCTTGTAGCTTTAAGAATGTTGACTTTTGCTCTGGCGTTGCACCATATTAAGGAACAGATTTGACTAAGCATTCTTTGGTTTCCGTCAAAGACCAATGTCTTTAATGAATTAGTCAACGACCTAAATATCGTATGTCACATAAACGTTTTTGACTATGTCATCGAGGTAAACGAGCTTGGCTTTTACGTGAGTGATAGCAGTTATTCTGGTGATAATTAGCAAACGGCTTTATGGAAATACTGAAATCTTGTAATGGTTTGCGACAAAGTCCACAAAGAGAACAGACAGATTATACGACTGCTTAGTCAACTTACACTGCATGTTTGTAACAAACTTGTTTTTATAACTCCATCTTCAGTTATTCCATCGGCATCTGCAAGTTCGAATTGATCCTGAGGGTAAAGGAATAAAGAAGAGTAGCGTAAAATGCATGAGAAGGGAATAGTGACAGAAACAAAGTGAAAGTTGACCATCAAGAATATACTATGGTTTATGTTGACGTTCTTAAGACCCCGAATAGATACATTGTCTATTCCATCGGCCTGAGATGGTGAAAATGTCTGGGGTTTTCTACTCCTCAGGATATAGTAGTAAAATAGGTGACGGGATAATAACAAGTAAAACTCCACACACCACAGGAACGAACGTTATTGGATTACTTGAAGTGTTTGGTGAATACATTACTATATTAAAATTAATGGCACACTTGTTGAGACCCAAACGGTGGCTTAGAACTTCATGAACACATCAAAGTTCACTAACTATTCATCGTTGTAAAAAATGAAATTTACGGTGTTTTGTAATATAAAATTGCCAATGTGCAATATCAACGAGAAATGCCTAGTAGCCAATCAGACGCAATTTGTCACATAACCACCAATTGTATGCTTCGTCACATGCCAGATATTTCGATGGAACAGTGTTAAGTGCGACTGGTTTAACATCTGTATTTCAATTTTACAGATCTGGCAATAGGACATGTATATTAATAAGTCAATAAAATACATTCGAATGTGACATAATTTCGAAGTGATGGCTAACGTCCTGATGGTATTTTTGTTGTAATGGTTGTCGTGTGTGCCCTGAATATTATCAAGTGAACCGAATTTCTTTGAAGACATTGGTTCTAAAGGCTATAAAACTATAAAAGTCATACATCTGGCGCAACTTGAAGCGAACTATGCAGGGATAGCTTAAACTTATTGAGCTTATTGGTCAGAACCGGCTATTGTGTACATGAAGCTGAAGATTGTGGGGGTGGTGGGGAATAAAATAATATCCAATTTATTGCACTATCTCTAAGTATATGTTATTTAAAGTATGCATTAGACGAATGACTATAGTCATGACGTGAGTATACTCAAGTCATACTTATAACATATGACTTGCAAAAACATGATTTAGTGGGAATCATCTATTGAGACGGAAAAATGAACTTACGAGATCATACAAATTAACGTTACTTGGTAAGCTATGAAGCGGGTAAGATTCAGTGGGTACGAACTCTTTCGCAGCTGCAGCCCACCATTGCCTAACATGTTTATGCACGGCAGTTCACTTACTTAACGTCATTTAAGGTTGGAACATTTCCTGAAAAATTAATCTTTTGTGCGTTTTCAGGGTCCACGTCAAAATTTTCGAAACAATGATATACCTTTTCATCAAAATTTACAATAAGGTCAGTGAGTGAATCTTCAAAAGAGAAGCTAGCATCGAATGGGATCGATGAAACTCGTTTTATTTGATGGTCAGTGTCAGCAACTAATGAGGATGTCTCAGAACCGTCAAGATCATCACATACACCACCGCCCTCGAAAGGTGCCAGCGGTGCTCTAGCAAACAAATCCATACACAATGTGTTAGCGCCTATTCCTGAGCTCATAAAAACAACTCTATAACTCAGTATGATTATAGTGAATAACTTGAATTTGATTAAATTGTACACCTTTTTTGTGTGAAATACTGATACATGAAGGCTTTTGTTGATTTGACTTTGTCAGTCAGCAAAACCTTTAGACGGACAGTAGACAATAATAATCAAACTTGAAAATTCTATGATATTGTGGACCGTCCGTTCCTTGGGGGTTTGCGTTTAGGTCATAGGAGACAATTTATGGATAAGTATATGTAATGTGGTGGTAAGTAAATATCCGGAATTGGCATTTCTGAAAACATATTTTATTGTTTCTGTGTTTTAATAGACGCTTGATGACCCTCCTTCAAGCACCAAAAGGTTGCGTTGAGGCTTGTCAGGATATTTTTCCCTGACCAGGCTAGCTAGTTCAGAAGACTCGTGTTGGGAGTATCCAAGTGGGCATACGTTCTTCCCCCCATTCACCATGGCCTCCTTTCTTTGCTCTCAAATGGTTTCATTATTAAATAATTGGTTACCACGACTGTGCCATTCTCCTGTATCCATGGGGTTGTAGTTGCGAATAAATCTCCAACATCAGTAGCTCTGTTAGTCTTCGATATTTGATTCTGGCCACATTAATTTTAATGGACCCACCTAGCTGAATGCGCTCGGTCACGCATACGTACTAGATCACGAGTAGGTACATTGTGCTTCACATCTCCTACGACCACTAGCTAGCTTAAATTGATCACTACTCGATATATCGATAGCCTATCAAATATACTTTCGAGCCTTTCCGCTTCTGACTTCTGATTTGACTTGGCTGGTACACTGCGATCATATAAGGTGTTAGTGGTTATTTTGTCAAACTCCGAATGCTTGTGGCAAATTTAGGGTCCAGCATAATTGTTCTTTCAGTGGTTCAGAAATCCTATAGGATGAATCATTATTTGATAAATGAGGCGGCAAAATATCAACGTAATGACAAGTCTTCTTTGAAAGCAGAACTAGAGAATATATCATACTAATTTTCAGTCATCAGATTCCTAAACTATCTCTTTTGGTAGTGAATTCTACAACTTACTGATTGTAACCATGGTTTACGTGTCAGATCATTCATGCTCTAATCTTAACGAATGTCTGTAACAGCTTAGGTTGGTTGGCTAAGAGTTCACCTCAAACAACTAAGAATATGTTAAGACAGTATAGTTCAAGTATTCATTCATTTCCTTATTTTGTATAGGCGTTATATTTCCTATTATCTTATATTGAATGTTGAGAGGCTTTGTTTGTCTGAACAAACAATCCCACGCTCCACTGTGACTGAGCGAAGATCTAAATAAAGGACTATTCACTACTTGTCTGGTTTCTTATATCAAGAGCACGAGGGTTACTTAGTGGCACGAAATGTTCACGTAGCTGCAGTTCAGTACTTGTGATGGCTTGGTAAAGGAATGTTTAACGGTTAACAAATCCGAAAAATAAGTAATTTTATAAGTCATCAACACCAATTCAGACTTTATCAGTCCCACTGGACGAACTCCTAACTGAAATCGCCTAGTAAATTATTCACTCTAGATCATGATTGAGCATACCGAACTGCAAATCTTTTACAGAAACTAATCAGCTTAGATTACATACTTCTCGATACATCAACCATTATCTGAAAATATCTTCACATCTCTTTACTCACGAATCCTGCTCTAGCTAACTTCGATATCCTCGGATAAAAAGATAACCTGGATAATAGCGCTGCCATTTGTTGCATTTCCATAACATGTTTAGTGATGAACCTCGACGTGATCTGATGCCATAAGTGACAAACCGTTTGTTTTTTATCGTAACATTCCGTATATTCGAGACACTAAAAAGAAGAATATATTTGTAAAATCTCAGCGAATGAATTTTACAAATATATTCTTCTTTTTAATGTCTCGAATTAACTCGGCGCCCAAATATTGTGAAACTGTTCGTTCAAATTTAGACGAAAGTTTTTATTTATTCTGTATATTCTCCTGCATATGTGGTATTATTTTGTGTTCTTGAGTTTTTCCCGAATACCTACATATTTTAATCTTATTATGTCGGGACACACGAAGACGTATAAAGATAAAGGTGTCTACACCCACCACCTTGCAACTTATGTTATTCTAGTCTGACAAAATTGAAGCTTGGTTGCGCTATCACATACACTGACCTCCACGAGCATGTTGTGACAGCCCCACATACACAGTTCCACATGATAGTGGAGAAACTACTGTGTGACTTCAGCAATTACGTTACAACTAGTATTTTACTGGTGACGTTCCTGAACGTAGCATTTTAAAAATCCTATCTCTAAACGTGGAGACTTAACCAAACAACAAAGTTCATGCCGACGTTTACCTAGTATCGAATTAGCACACTGCTCGCCAACAGAAATGTTGCTTCGTATGCGGGAGGTAATTGACAAGCAAACTTTTGACGAAGACCTTTTAAGACAAATCTTTTCTCTCTAATCTTCCCAAACAGCTGCAAACCACTTTTGTCCTATTTCAAATTTACTTTGTGGATGAATTAGTATCATCTGTTGATTAGACTCTGGAGATAAACAAAACCGTCAAAACCGAGTGTTGCTCCATCAAGGAGGCACAGTCGATCCAAGATGAAGTTGTAGAATTATGGTCTACTATGATATTAGTACTGCTCTAATAATAGACCTAATCCTAAATTTGTATATTTGTCATGATATAACTGCCTAATCTATAAGATCTTACGTGGAAGTCACACCATCGACTACACCAACTCACTGTATCGTATCAATTACTAATACATGATGTAGAACGACGTTAGGCTAGAGAAGGAACAATATATTTAACATGAATAGAAGATATAAGGTAACATTTAGATGGACCACGCCTGCATGGCCGAGCCATGCCATCCGATCAAATCCAGTCCATTCAATTCATTGTTCGCGCCTTCTTCATTGTTAGGTATTTCTCCGCGTTAAATATTGAATATCTATTTTCTGAGTAGTCTCGTGTTCACAGCTTTGTGGATTGTGTGGCTATTGTCCAATGCCACTACACTACTCTCCCACCAGAATCAACGTGATGTTGGTTCGATACCAAATTGGATGGGATCGTCGCGCGCCGGAGGTTACCAAGGATAATAAGAATCCTCCGGGTATTGGTAAGCTGAAAGATAAATCAAAAAGAAGGCGGCAGCATCTGGTCGGGAAATACATGTAATAATTTTAAAATATCTGCCTTCATGCTTAAAACGCTTGAAATGAAAATTTGGGTGAAGATTATTTGAGCTATAAAAAAATGGGGTTACAATAATTATAATAAAACGATGCGTGTTAATAACTTAACGTATAGGTAGTAATTATTTTGTGTTTAGAAATATTAAAGTAATGAATATTGTAGAAATGTTAATATTGGTATTAGTTTTGGTTTAAATTATGAAATCAATTTACGATTATGCCGGTAAGTTGTCCATATGTGGTTTCCAATTGCATCTGTATTAGTAGGCTAACTGAAAGAACAAAAGTATTACCGTGGAGAAGAATTCCAACTAGTGTTCCAGTTAGTTTGATACGGTTTATTTAGTTACGGGGAGATTTTCTCAACCTCATTTTTACTTGACCGTGATAGAATTTAGTAATACTACTAATACACATGAATGGTTATCAAAACAAAATTTAAATACGTGAGTGATAATTATATGAATTTTGGACAGATAGCTAGGAACAAATCGTTAAACATGAGTGTATTCGTAAGAGACATGCTCTAGACTCAATGTTCTGATCTGTGGCAGACTATTTATTTATATTTATACTTGCCGGCTGATTGGGCATACAAGTTAGTTGCAAGTATGCAGTTTATCATAAGGCGGAATACGATTTAATTGAGATATAGTGGTTATAAGTTATTAAAATCAGTTAGCCTGTGTCATATTACGAAGTGATGTGGTGCTGCAAGATGTATTTAGCTAAGTTTTTACAAGATGATTAATAGTGAGTGATGCTCATGTGATTATCAGGGAGAACATAAGTTGTAACCAGGGGAGTACACTCCCAACTCATGTCTATGATAATGGCTTGAACCTTAGTCAGTGTTGGGGTAAATTCGACATTGATGTTTTCAGTTTGCAGGAGATTTGCTCGACTGCTTATACTGATTATTTGCATGCATGATTGTGTCGCTAAACCATCAATTAGACTGACAAGGTTTTGAGATATTTACTGAATGAGCAACTGATAGAGAAACATACTGTAATCATCTGTGATGGATGAAGATAAGAAAAAAACAACACTAGTGATAATTATAAGTCAATTTGATGACCGATTTTGTTAATAGTTTCATTAATTTTATCAATCATATTACGTGATTGTCAAGTCATGACAATGCTTTATGACGATATCCTGAAACTATTATGTTTAACTAGTTATAGTGTTGATTAAGGATTAGTCAGTGGAAAAATAGGTATTGTTGCTTTAGGTGATTCGAAATTATCAGAAATTTGTAACGTTAAAGAATCCGAGACGCCTAATTTAATTATAAATTTCAATTCAGAAATATTCGTTTAGTGTTAATTCTAGTAGGCTACGGAGTTTTGATTTTAAACGTTTGTTTAGCCAACAGCTACTTTATGATTTAGTTATTCTACTAGTGCAGTTGATAGTACCTAAATTTTTAATCTTATTATCTAAACTATGTTCGCATTTTAGGCTGCTAATATGATAAACCAATCCATAAACCCAAATACGATTAGCAACAACGACTATGATGGGTTTATTGATAAATGTTAAAGGCGATTCAGATGATTTCTAAATTTAGAAGACATGAAGATATAGTAACGTATGTACGGGCCAGGTTAACATGCAGGTTGTTGACGTATATGGCAATTTAAAAATAATGAACATGACCAGAAAATAATTTTAAAGTTAAGACTGCTTGTGAAACTTCAGGCAGGAATATGATGCGTTATAAACATTCCATAAGAAGTTACTGCATTTAGCCTAGGGACACTTACAAATATATAGCAAAAGGAACCGGAAAACATATACATGTTAAGTAAAAAAATCATTAAGT